ACTTCTACAAAGCAAAAGCAACTAGAAGTGGTTTTTGTTGACTCAGTTACTGGTACCAGTGGATTCATTTTAAGAGAAGTGATTATTATGGCGAGCCACTGGCTAAGCCAAACAAGTCTTCTTTCACAATGCAGAAGCTCTGCTGTGTTGGCTCTCACCCTCAGAATTGGAGATGGTCAGTTGCCCAATGTGTCTTGCTCCATCTTTAGACCCATAGTAAAAAAACAAAAACAAAAAACCAAACCTATACCTGCTCTGTATTTTTTATTTTCAACCGTAAGCTATTCCTTATTTCTGAAGGAAAGTTGATCACAATTGAAAACAGGTAACTTAATGATATTGTGGGGATTGTTGGTAGGTTAGTCAGCGGTTGTGCTAGCTTCCTTCCTCCTCATTATATTAGCAGTATTTAGATTGGGGTAACAGAATGGAGAGATGCTTCCGCTAATGCTCAGTCAGCGTATGGCGTATCCCTGACGACAGTGACACAAAGCACCTACCTGACTCTTGTCACTGCAGTAGTGACAAGCTGTTTTACAGATAAGGAAACTGAGGCATGGGGGCAGAGATTGTCCACTTGACAGCAGCATGAACTGATAAAGGACATTCCAAAGGCTATTCAGAGATTCAAACCCCAGTTAAGCTCTTTGTCACTCTTCCGGGACCCTTTGGTGGCTTGCATAGGACAGATGCTAAACACAGAAAGCTTGTGTTAACTCTTTCAAACATTCAGATACCCAGCTTTGGGAGAAGTTCTTAGGGATTGATGTTCCAAATATGGGTAGATTGCTCGTGCCATTCCCTAGAGTTCTGCCAATAAAAGCTCTGCCCCTTAACTTTCAGAAAATACCTAGGAGTTTTGGGGAAAAGTGACTCTCTCTCCTGAAAAGCTTTATTTAAGATGGTGTCTTTGCAGAAGTAAATTCCGGCCCTGGGTGGCCTGCTACTGCACAATGGCATCTGTCTGTTTTGTTTCTGCTGTCCTCATTCCATGGTTGGACCTTGCAGCTGGGGTCCACCTCAACCCCTCCCAGCACTGGCCTCTCTCTCTATTCCTGTCTGCCTTCATCTCCATATGCTTTTACTATTCTTTGTAGGTCACCTGGGATCTTACATTTTCAAATTGATCTTACATTCTGAAAGCAAGTATTGGGGTCTTATTGGATCTGCCAAGTATCTGTTGGCTTTGAAAGGGAGAAAGGGTGTTCCCACAACTGCCTGCACTCTGCTATGAGCAGAGGGCGTGTCTGCTCTGCTTCACATGCTGTGGGGTGTCCTCTCCCTCTGTGCATGGATTCGTTGACAGGCAGGCGTGCTCCGTTTGCTTTCCTGTTTGTGGCTTGTGCCTTTTGAACACTGTGCTATCATTCACAGCCCGGCTTGATTATCCTCTTTTTCTGTTTCTGTCACAAAACACCCAAAGACCAGCAGTGTCGGTCAGAATCCAAAACGGCTGGTTGCCCGGCCCTGCCTTGTACTTTGTGGCTTGGGCTTGTCTTCTCTTCTGGAATAAGGGGGTAGTTTCTTCCTATTTTTTCCTTTGTTCTATAAACGGGGATGGGGTGTAAATGATGAAATGGCTCTTCCATTCAAAGAAGCTGCCAGTCCCAGCTCTCTGTGACGAGTGGCTTCTGTTCCCAGTGGTCTTCTCTGGTGGAAGAGGCCAGCTGGCAGAAGGTAGCAGGTCCTTCTGCATATTGATTGCATGTGAAAGACATGTTAACTCTTTCTTCCTGCATTTCTTTGGTTGGCCCTGAATTCTTACTATTTATTGGAAATAGTAACAAATGACTTTACACCTAATGCTTTGATCAAGCACACATTGAAGACAGTGATGTAGTTCAATGCTCCTGTAAATTTAAGAGCAAATTAATACACCTAATTTACAGCGGTAGAGAAGGAATAAGCTATTTTAGACTGGGCACAGGGGAAAAGAATTTTTTTTTTCCACTTTTCTGATGGATGACTGGTGCCATTATTCTCAAGGGCTTTGAGTCATTGACCAGAAGCTGAGTGAAAATGGAGAAGGGAGAGCTGGGGAAACAGAGGGGAGCCAGAGAATAGTTGGGGGAGCTGTTGAAGCGCAGGTATTAGCAGAGAGCTCAGAGGAGGTGATGTTTGAATTGAAACCTGCAAAGAGAGAATGGGGCTGTGTGTGGAGGGGAGCCCTGTCAAGGCAGCAGGCTGCAACTAAGGAGGAACCGAGCCTGTTGGAGGCTAGTGAACAAGTGTGCTAAGCAAGGATTTGCCAGAAGATGAGATAGAAATGAGTAGGCCTGAACTCTGACAGAATCCCATTGACTTGGTATTTGGTCAGGGGTGGACTTGGTTGGAGGGGTAGGCTGGAGGAAGGTATTACTGTCACTCAGGTCGAAGATGACATTGGTCAGCTTGGAGTTGTAGAGGTAAAATGGCAGAGACAGGGCACAGATCATGTGTACTCCACGTGTGTGTCCAGGTGTCTGCCAGGTAGCCAGTGGTGTGTTAGCCTCTGCAGACATAGGTTGTGAACTAAATAGGAAATAATTTCCCATCCTCCTGGAGCTGCCATCAGGATGGGAGTAGCCACAGTGAGAGAACATGAGAAGAAAGGCTAGAGGGAGGTTCTCAAGAGGGTGGAAGTACCCTAATTGAATGGGGTTGGAGGTGAGCAGGGAGTACCACAAAGAGGAAGAAGGGGAACCATGAGGAAAGACCCCTAGAAGGGAAGGAAGCCCAGATGAGTGTTACTAGAGGGCATGTGTGACAGGTGAAGGAGACGAATTGGCATGACTGACTTTCAGCATGAGCAAGTCACATGGCAGCATCATTGAACAAGATGTGGAAACTCAGGAGTGGATAACAGAATGAGTTATGAGAGAGCTCTGAGTTGTGGAGCAGGGTGGTGGATCTGTTCTTGAGTAGCGTCTGGGTCAGTACCGTACGTTGCCTCCCAGGGTCACCCTGAGTAGAGATGGCACAGGGGGCCATTTGCTGGGTGAGATGACAGAGAAGGCTGAGGACAGGGATCCCCGTTAGTGGCTCTGTATGAGGGAAGAATGGGTATTGGTGGGATCGTGACATCCAGGCAGCACAGAGAAGGCAGCAGTGCCACATGCTCTGCAAGGCTTTGTCAAGAGACTAACCCACCCCGAGGCCTCCCTTGGGCTTCTATCGCCTATTGGATCCTCAAGGGCTCCATTCCTTCGAGGTAGTGCTCACCCCGTCCCATGATCCTTCATGACAGGATTCTATCAGGGTCATTGTCTTTGGTCCTTCCTTGTATCCCTGACCTCCTGTCACTCTGCCTGTCTCTGGCTTCTGTGATATCACAGGTCATTTAAAACTCATCTTTGATGCTGCCTCTCCTGTGTCCTGTTGGAAATTGGAGAAGTTTTTCCCTGTGCATTCCATTCATCTTGCCCTGTCTTGATAGTTGTTCACCATGGTTCTTAGCTCCTGGTTGTTGCTATGAGCTTCTTTGTGTCTTTCATGGAATCAAATTAATGAATGTTGTAGTAATGGTTGGGATTATTAAATACTAGGAAAGTATAGTAAACAAGGCTGTTTTTCCATGTGCATTTCAAACTTTTAAAATAAAAGGTTTAGAGTCTAGAAAGATGGGCCAGTGGTTAAAAACGGCCTCCATGTTAGGTGAGTCTCAACCCTTTGTAACCTCAGCTTCAAAGGCTCTGCTACTCTCCTCTGGCCTCACTGGGCACCTGTACTCATATGCATAGAAACATACAGAAACAACAGAATTAAAAATAAATAAAACAAAATTCTAGTAGCGAGGCCATTTTACCACAAACAGAAATTCAAAAACCTGTTGTAATCTACAGATGCCTTGGTCTAGTTCCTCTGCTTCTAGGATGTATCTTTGGATATCTGGTATATTGTTTATAGTGTGAAAAATTAGAGATGACCGTATCTAAGCAATAGGGAATCAGAAGGAACGGTATTTATTGTATTTATTGGTAATTTAAAACTAGTTTTTCCTTTAAAAAAAAATTAGTGCTTTTGTATGTACACATGCATGTTTAGAGGTCAGGACGTCTTGGGTTGGTTCTCTTCCACAGTGGGTTCCAGGGACCAAACTCAGGGCTGCTTATCAAGTGCCTCTCCCTGTTGGAACCACCCCCCAGGCACCTAGGTTTTTGTTTGCTTGTTTGTTTGTTTTTTATAAATGATGCTGTAGAAAGACTTCAGTGTGCCTGAATGTTCATGTTAAGCAAAATAAGTCTGTTTACAAATATTATGTTCTTGTCTGACTTTATTTCATTATTTGCAGAGAAAGGATGATTGGCTTACGTGAATGAATGCTACTTATCTGTAGCCATTGAGATCACTGATATTTTTTTGCTGATTTTGCTGTTGCCTAACTTCTGTAGGAAGCGTCTTACTTGATTAACACAGCACGTTGCACTAAAGTTGGAAGCGTGTGTCTCTTTCATTCATTAAGTCTTTTCGTGGGTTATTTATTTTGTCTGTGTTTTTGAGGAGAGCACAGGTCACCTGGTCCATATCAAATGGCGCCTGCTTTCCGGGTCACCGTGACTGTTCTTGAGCAGATTGCATTGCTTGATGTCCTTTGGGCAGGACACAGAAGTGGTTGACACTCGGCTGCCAAGCTTTTGTGTAGGTGCTGCGAGCTCACCTCTACCTTGGCAGCTCTGGTCTAGCTTGGGTTGTAGCATGAACTTTTGCACGCAACCCTATATGATTTTGGACTGAAAGCTCTAGTTTGGATGGTTCCTGTAGCTGGCTTCTTCCACAAGTCAGTGAGCACGTGGTACAGTGTCTGGGCCAGTGCAGGCAGCCGAGTGACAGTAACCAGGTAGCTTCAGCTCTTCAGGTGTGCAGTCTGCCACCCACACCTTCTTGATCTGCAGTGAGAAACCGAGTCACCTTCTTTTGATAATCATACAAGTTTTATGGAGATTCATTCTCGGGGGGAGGGCTGGAAAGCTATTTTAAGAACGATCTCTGTTTAACAGAATGCTCCTCTTGTCTCCCTTCAGTTTGTGGGCCTGGCATTGACATCCGCAACGACTACCAGCAGCTGAAGCGCCTGGAAAACTGCACGGTGATCGAGGGCTTCCTCCACATCCTGCTCATCTCCAAGGCTGAGGACTACCGGAGCTACCGCTTCCCCAAGCTCACAGTCATCACCGAGTACTTGCTGCTGTTTCGAGTGGCCGGCCTCGAGAGCCTGGGCGACCTCTTCCCGAACCTCACAGTCATCCGTGGCTGGAAACTCTTCTACAACTACGCGCTGGTCATCTTCGAAATGACCAATCTCAAGGACATTGGGCTTTATAATCTGAGGAACATTACTCGGGGGGCCATCAGGATTGAGAAGAATGCTGACCTCTGTTACCTCTCCACCATAGACTGGTCTCTCATCTTGGATGCCGTGTCCAATAACTACATTGTGGGGAACAAACCCCCAAAGGAATGTGGGGACCTGTGTCCGGGAACATTGGAGGAGAAGCCCATGTGTGAGAAGACCACCATCAACAATGAGTACAACTACCGCTGCTGGACCACAAACCGCTGCCAGAAAAGTAAGAGTGTGCAGACACGGGACTTCTGCTTTCTCCTTCTTGCTCGCTTCCTCCTCCTCCTCCTCCCCTTCATCCTTGGCAGGGCAGGGCAAGGGTCTCTCACATTTCCACACCGCCTCGCTGGAAGTGCCTCCTGAGGACAGGGAAGGGTGGGTCGTGGTTAGCTTTTTTCTGTAGGTGGGAGTTCTGGGAATGCAGAACTGGAGCCCAGATGGAGGCCACTGTGGCTGCTGTCAAGTCCGGTTAGAAAAGATTCACTGCCTCTGGAGGCTAGAAGTTTACTAACCTTCAGCTTCTCTGATGAGAGAGGTGACTTGGGATGAGCATTTCATACAGGTGAATTCTTGTATCCCTTGTGTAAAGGGATTTATAGTATCATCACCACCACCACCATCATCTTCATCTTGTAGAGGAAAAGTGCTTCTCATGAATGAACTCGGAATATGGTTGAATAAAGGAAAAGCATAGCATAGTTTCTCGGGACCCTGATGCTTAGAAGACCTGGTTTAATAGGAACACCTGCTAGGAGGCCTGTGTGCCAGTTTCCGGGAGTCACTGGTTCAGTCTCTACTTGACACAGCTCTGTAGGAGGGTGTTTTTCTGAACCCTTGGGCTTTCATTTCTTTTCTTGTATACCTGTTGTGAAAGTCTTATGCAATCACTTAGTGAAGGAAACTTGAAAAACAGTCAGTGATCCTGGAGTCACACTGTTTGAAGCTTGTTTGCCTACAGTACGTATATTTTCTTTGTAGGATAACCTGAACTCTTACCTTGGTGTGACAAATGCCATGAGAATCAAGTTGCTTTCTTTTTTTTATTTTTTATTTTTAATTTTACTTTAGCTAGAATGTGGCCATGATTCAGGGAATTGGCAGTATTGGATTCAATAATTCAACAATATTTAGACACGTGACCAGCAAGGTTCCTCTCACTGGTTTCCCCTTAGCATGTTAGCTATTATTTTAAGGCTGTCCCAGTTCAAGACCCAAAGAGTCCATATACCCTAACTAGTTATAAAGAACACCCCCCACCAAAAAAAACCTCCCCAAATTGTTAGACTTGACTAATCCGTGAAGTGTATATAATCAATAGATGCAAGGCCGGCTGTCACAGGTATCTTTTTATGTCAACATTCCTTTAGCTGGGGTCAAAGTAGGAAGTCACACACCTTGATGTCTTCTGTAATGTGATCTCTGTGTGTAAGATATGTGCAAATGTGGGGGGGGGAGGGGGGCTGTATGAGAGATCTTAGTAGAGGCCAGGATCCCATTGGCCAGTTCCTTGAAGAGCTGAAAGATACTTTTCCTGATTGATTAAAACAATTCCATATTTTTTTTTTTTGTCTTAATTGGTTGTTTGAAGAAGCATTAATCTTTTTGGTTGTTTTTGAGATAGGGTTTCAATCTGTGGTTGGCGCTGTCCTAGAACCTGATATGTTCTCATTACTACCTGTGAACTCAGGACAGTTCTCCTGTGTCAGCTTCTCAAGTCGTGGATTATAGGAATGAGTTCTTGCCTATTGTAACAAAATTTTGTTTTTGTTTATTAATTTCTAAATTTTTAAAAAATTATTTACTGTGTTTGGCTGTTTTGTTTGTTTACCAGAAGAGTGAGGTGGCAGGGAGGGACCGGAGTTCGAGTCAGTTTTTGAGCTGCCATGTAGGTGCTGGAAATCGAACCTGGGTCCTCGGGAACAGCAGCCAGTGCTCTTAAGAGCTGGGTCATTTCTCCAGCCCCTAGCATTTTGTTTTTAAAGTAGCCTTGGCATTTGAAAAACTTTATCTTAAAAAGCATCATCAGAGATTTGGATGTAGAAATGAGAGTCCGGGATGACTTGACTGGCCAGCTCGCCTGAGCTGTGCTTAAGCTTGTCCCTGGAGCAGCCAGGCCTGTTGCCCTTTCGTGGTGACCAAACTAAGTACAGACAAACCAGCATTTCAGAAACTTATAAGCTCTACACAAAAGGGGAGTGCTGTTTACAGCATCTCCAGCATCAGCAGACAGCAACTGCTCGGTCATTCCACAGATGCTTTGGCCTCATTGCAGCTTTTCAGATGCTTTTGAAGAAGTCCAGGGCAGAGATAAGGCTTGTATTCAGGGTCAGAGTCTAAGGTCAGTAGCTAGAAATTATTAAATAATTTAAATTGTGTGAGCTTTAGTTTCTTTATCTTAAAAATGGCAGGGCTCCTCCCTCCCTCACAGAGTTGATGGAAGGTTAAATTAAAATAAAGAAAAGCAACCTGGATTAGAAATTGAGCCCTGATGCCAGAGTGATTTTTGGCTGGACCTGGTCTTCCCAAGGCCATGCTCTGTTGCCTGTTCCTTGGCCAGCTGTACCAGTCCTGATGATGTGTTTTGTGATTTCACAATGGAGTACTTAGTTAAAACTGCTGAGTCCATTCAAGGATATTGTCTTCTTACCTTGTCCTGAAAACTCGTCATGACCACAGGTTTCGATGGTAGGTTTTCTAATTCTGCTAAAATACTTTTTCTCCGAGTAGATCCTATTCAAGTGTATACTGTCATGTGTATAGTAGCCATTAGCCACATGTGCCTGAACTGAGCACTTGACCTGTGTGGCCTACCTCTGGTAAGACCCTCTTTCAGTATAGAATTTCCAGGATGTAGTATGGGGGGAAAATCTTTGAGATGTTCAACACATGTTTTTGTTTTTGTTTTTAATTGATACTATGCTGAAACATAGTGTGATGGATATACTCCAAAAAGTAAAATATGCTATTAAAATCAGATCGTTTGCTTCCGGATGTGGACGCCGGGATGTTTGCAATCCAGATGGCTGCTGTTCTCTTTCCTCTGGACAGCACAGCTTTAGCGGCATGCTTTGTCATCTCTAGACAACTGGCTTCAGTCGTGCTGTCTTATCCTGCCTGTCTTCAGTCAGAGTTCTTGATCATCATTCAAGGAGCCAGGGCAGGGGCACTCAGTCCTCACAGAATGCCCACCTTGAGTTCATATAGCCATTTTGGAAAGACTCCTGTTAAGCTACTTTCTGCTGGGTCGTGGCAGAAGAGAGAGAATTCAGCATCTGCAGAGAAGCATCGAGTGGAGTTGCTGCTGCTGTAAAGCAGAAACACCTGGTATTGCCGTGCCGGTGGACTGATTTTATTTGGTGTCAACACTCCTTTTGGATCCTGTCTGCTGGCCAGTGGTGTGGAGACAGCCCACTAAAGAGGGGCCACTCTGCTGGTTACACTGTTGGTGTGCATGTCTTTGTTTTTGTGATTTAGTGCAGGCCTGAGCTGTTCCTAAATAGCTAAGGGCCCTGAAGGAATTGTGTATGGCCTTTTGCTTTGATAGAAAAGCTGGCAATGCCTTCACGCTTGGTGTTTGGTCCTTCCTTCCTTGCTTTGAAATGGCTTCTGCTTCTCTACCTTCCCCTGTGGCAAGCTGCTCTTTGTTGGTCTTTACTCCTCTATCTAGGCTTTAGTAGTTGGTTGTCTCTGGCCTTAATCCATTTGGGCTGCTGCAACAAAATTTCACAAGCTGGGTGGCTTACAAACAGTGGATTTGTTTCTCATAGCTCTGGAGGCTGGAGGTCCAAGAAAAGGTGCTGACAGATTCTCCGTCTGAAGAAGGCCTGCTTCCTGGGCTTACCCCTCCATGCCCCGTGCTTTCACGTGGCGGAAAGGGACAAGGCAACTTTCTGGTGTGTCTTTCACAAGGGCGCTAATCCCACTTATAAGGGCTCCATCCTCATGACCTAATCACAAAGCCTCACCTCTTAGTACTGTATGGTCAGGTACTAGATTTCAGTCTGTGAGTTTTGGAAGGCATAATCATTCAGACCAAAGCATGGCCCAGAGGCTCTCCCCATTCTACTTCATTGTATGCACTGGTCCTTTAGCATCCTCTCGTCTCTATCTAACTTTCAATACCATCTCAAGTCCAGACCTCTTTTTGAGCTTACTTTTTGGCTATCCTATAACTTGCTTTAGTAGACCAGGCTGGCTTTGACCTCAGAGATCCTCCTGCCTCTGCCTTCTGAGTGCTGGGGTTAGAGGTGTGGGACACACTACCACCTGGTTTCTTTCTGAGCCGTTAACTACATCCGTTTACATGAGGATCACCCTAGTAGCTCACTGTCCCCCCGGGAAGTCTCCTTGCTTCTGTGCTTTTTCTATACCCCCTAGCCTATGATCATGCCAGAAACCCTAGTGCTTGAGCCTTTTGCGTTGCTTCCCCTTCTGATTGGCCATCCAAGTGCTTACCGTCCCAAATGTGCCTTCACTCTGCCATCTTCTGCCCTACCCAATGCTTACCCAGTGATAGCTCTTCTACAGCCTCTTGCTCTGTGTCCTCCCTCTTCACTCCAGTAGTGAATGTCCCATTGAGTAGATCTCCTGTCCACCTGCACTTCTCTCATAAGGCCCTTACCAAAAGCTCCTTGGTGGTCCTCCCACCCCTATTGAACTGTACCATGCACCCTCCCTCCTACATGCAAAATCCTTTCCCAGTCATCTTCCTGTTGACCAGTCTGCCACCCTCCACCCCAGACCTGGCTGAGCTCCAGCCTTGCCCTTTCTAGAAGACGACCCCAGAGCTTTGGAGCCTCCAGTGGTCCTGCTGCCTGGCACCGTGTTTTTTGCACTGTTGTGTGAATTCTGGCTGTCTCTTCCCTCACGTGCCTGGCACTCCAAGGGTGAGCATGGTACATGCTTTGTGAAGGTCCACTTTCCCCCAGGCAAACAGTAGCATGCAACGGCAGTCCTCAGGAAGCTCAAAGATGAAATGTGGTTCTTACGTTCCTTCTGCCCCTGTCACTGCTACTGAGGAGCGCTGCCGCCCAAACCATCTCTAACTTTAAATTGGCAGAGAGGATCTACTGCAGATGGGAGCTCTTCTCTTTCCTGCCATTGTCAGAATGATCCAAGGCCCAAGATGCAGAAGTCTAAAGGGTTGAATCCTGACCCCCAGAAGCCGTTTGCCGAAGGCTGGCCAGCCTTGTATCCAAAGGGCCGGAGGTGAACCCTCACTAGTAC